ATTCCAAAGGTGTCTTTATTCTAATTGATGTGATACTGAAAGTTACGATATAGAAAAATACGAAGTAAATGTAGCTGAAATATAAATGAACCCGATGAAAATAGAAGCAAGAGTTGCCAAACTTTAGAATTCTTTAAAAGGGAAGCCTAGGGATTTAGCGAATTACTCTGATTGATGATTTTTCCCTTGTCTGAATAATAATAGGACATTGCCTTGATTGTAATGCAAGAATTATGCTGCATAATTATTTGGATCCTAAATTCATAATGTAAGTTAGCTTTGCATTGGCAGCTGTTTAATTTATGGCCAACTTTAAAGTGGTTTACGGACTCTTCTGAAGTCATGAATTCTATCTGGAGTTGAGGAGTAAATGAGATAGAATGATGAGACTGATTTTTTTCTTGAGCATTTCGAGTAATTCAAGACATATAAGACTGCTTTATCACAAAACAATAGTAAAAGGAAACGAAATTGGTGGGAAGCATTGAAACTACATATGCCGACACTTAAAGGTTCACAGCTATTTTTTTAAAATTTGTAAATTTAATTGGTTACAGTAGAAATGAAAAGTAATGGTCGGATGAATATCAAAACGGAACAATTTCATAGTCTGATATCAATCCGAAAACTAGTAATGAAATGTCGGCAGATTTTGAAATGCTACTAAGAATTGTCGTTTATGTTCAACGTTCGAAACTTTCCAAATACTCCGATTAGCATGGCATGTACATCTCATTAAAATGAATTAGCTGCAAGATTATCTCAGGCATTTGTTGGGAGACACAATATGCAAAGCACTATAAAACAATTTGAAGAAGACACTGTTACAATTATGACAATACTTCAATGGCAGGTCGGTCGAGTTCGAAATTTAATATTTCAATTGAACGGATGATTTATCATTTCTGCCTATACAGTTAAAAGAAATTTAACTCAAAGCAAAAAAATTAGACGAACTTATTCCCCTCAAAACTGATTTTCCGGGTAATCCTTCACATTATTTCATCCGAAACACTTGATACTTGTTCCATAAATAGCATAATTATGAAGATCAAATTCTTTCTGCTTTTTCAAATATTCTGAAATCATTCCAAGTAATGGTTGCCATAAAAGTATTTAATTAAAGGCAAAAACAAAACAGTTCTTTCAAACGAACACATACAACAAGAAAAATATTTGTTGCATTCCGCAGGCCTTTACGGAGAACAAATAAGAAGGCATCGCCTAAAATATCGAAATTCTTTCAGAAAAAACAAATTTAGAAATTCCCATACTTATTATCATAATTGCTTGATTTCATCTAAGACAATTCACGTATATTGCTCATTTCGATAGCGATTTATACATTGCATTATTAAATTGAAAACTTAGTCAGTTTGAAAATTGTTCAAAAAGGCAAATTACGGATTGCAACAATGCAAAACTTTTGCAGCAAGAAAAAGAACTAAACTATTTTAATTGACACATTGAAAACAATTTTGCTGAGGTCTTAGCATCAACGACCCCTACGCAACATATTCATAATCGAGATGTTCTTCTGCATACGTATTTTTCTTTGAGAAACAAATAGAAAACAAAAGAATGACATTCAAAATAAAATCAATTTGTCACATTCATTTGAAGAGAATGACCGCAAACTTTTTGATAAAATTTAAAACCCCATGTTTCAAAGATTTCGTTTTTTTAAGAATAGAATATATAATCCTCTTTTATTTTATAGTCATCAAAAGATAAAGAACGATTCTATCAAGCTATATATGAAAATAGTATTTTTAAGAAGGACACGTTTATGATTACTATTATAAGCCAGTACAGAAAAGGATGACAAAGGACTATATAAAAACGGAAAGTTGAATTTGAAATAATAGAAAAAGTTGGAAGAAATTAATTAAGGAAACTTCATTACTAGATCAAAATAATAAGTTATTCAAAAAATGATTAAAAAGATAGGAAAAAAATCATATGCAGAGATGAAAAGATGTCCAAATTATGTGAAACCCCGACTTGGAATACATCATTGGAATCAATCAGCATTTAAGGCACCAGGTGACACTGTGGATCGTTGTGGCGAAGACCAAAAATAATAAATAGCACATTTGTGATATGACACCTTTTACGAAAACAATCAGCAAAAAAAAAGTTATTAGAAAAGATTATCGGTTACTGATTAAAAAGCTAGGATAATGTCACTACGTGATAAAGCCCAAATATATTGTATGTTTAAACAGCGCGTTTAAAAATAATATATATTAACTTTATGCTAAGCAATATCACTTTTATGCATTTAAGGACAGATGCATCCAAAAAATTGGATGGATCTACAAATTAAAAAATCAAATTTTCGAAATCTAAAAAATATATTATGCAAATTCTGTTGAATGAAAATCTATGTCAACTTATTTAAGTTTATTTCATTTTTTACAGGTAAGCAAAAATAAAATATCCCAATTGTGTTCATTTAATCACTCATAATAAGCATAAGCACCGCTAAGTAACCAAATAAATTACTTAATTACTCAACTCCACTTCTCTTAGTCTGAAGTTTTAAACACCAGTGCGATCTTGAAATGTTGAACAATATTGAAAGCACTACCTTAAGAAAAGACAGCAAACAGCAGAAAGCAAAATGAGAATAAATTTCACATTGGTTAGAGTATGGGACCTAATTATTAAAATTTCATGATTCAGAGCATGTAAAATATCGGGCAAGACGTCAAAATGTGTAATCGGGCAAAAATTTAGCAATAATTAAATGTAAACTATAGAAAGTTACAAGACAATCGTCAATTTCTCATTACACAAACTAGAAAGTATTCTGTGAAAAAGAGCAAATAGTTTTTACAATTTACTAAAACGTTTCAAATGTTGCACAAAGATAAAATGATTACTATATTTTGAACAACAAAATAATGATAAAAAATTTCGAGCAATTAGCTAACAAAAAACTGACACACACACACACACGCACACATACACATGTTCTACAATTACTGCGGAAAATGACTAAAACTTTAGAAATGTTCGAAATCTTTCTTAAATTTTTCTCAAAGACTAAACTGATAATACAAACCAAACTACATATATGATAGATACTTCAAAATTTCATACGTGTAAAGAATGAAAAATGAAAAAATATTTAAATCGAGAGAGAACTATTTGATTAAACGGATGATCAATTTTATGATACCAATGGTATAATTAAAACAAAGTTCGAGCTATATCTTTCAGGTTTGAATTCCTTTTCTTGCAAACACAGAAATCACATTCGAAGACAGCCTCTCTTTTTGCATATGGGTAAGTCGACAAGCAGAATAGCGACAAAGAATCAAAACAACAAGCTACGAAGTTTTTACAAATTTATTAAAGAAAATATATATTGGTTTTGGAGTTCAGAGAAAAAAAATGTCAATTTTTATTCTTAACAACAAAAATTGGATAGCTACATAGCTTTCATAGAAGATAGAAAAATCAATAGTCAACTTATCTTCAAAGTTAAAAAAAAAAACAAATTACTTTACCAAAATCATCCAACGCCATAAGCTTTATATACTCTCCAAATGGAATAACGGTGCAGAACAAGAAAATAAAAGAATCGGGAAATAAGCCAGATGCTCCCTGAATTAGAAATAAATCCATTCGAAAAAAAATAATTTCTAATTTTTGAAATTCGAAAAAAAAGCACGTTCCAGGTATATAAGCAACAAGGATGGTCAGCAGTTTCATGAATTTGCAATAAGTTTTAGGTGAAAAAAAAATTTCGTAGCATAAGTACAGGAATACTATTACATGCAACACCAGTTACTATGATACCACTGAACTAACCACCGTATTGTTAGCATAAGGAAAACCATCCAACAAGCATTTTTGAATTCGCTTCACTTCCCCCGTTCTGCCAAAAGCTGAAAAAAAAAGACTTTTCCTTCCAGATATTCCATTGATTTTGATAAATTGGAAATTTCTTGTTGTACAAGTTCCTTTTGCAAAATGAAAACAAAAATCATTTCAACTCAGCTACTTATCTTCCATCATAACATGTAGTGCAGCCTAATTTAGTGAGTTACATCGAAAATGTTCACAATAATTAATACACACTAGCTGATTTAGCAAATAACTTTTAATAATTTTGAAAAATCTCATTCATAGTCTTGGCAGTTGTTGAACTTACTGTATACTACCATCTTTCAATTTCTTACCTTAACGCAAAATCCTAACAATATTCTGAAATGGCTTCCATTAACAAAAAAAATTATCCCCTACCATGGCACAGTAAAACCTAGCAATATATCGAATAAACAGGATAGCCAAATCACAGTTCCGTGAAATTTTATACACAGGCCAAACTGGCAAAATATGACATTTAGATCATTTAATTATTTAATTGTATGGATAAAGTTTGTTCAATAGTTAAAATTTTAAGAGTATTACAAAATTCTTTACAAACCAGAAGAAATAATATCACATTTAGCGGAAATTGAAAATATACAAAGAAATAAAAAATTGAAAATATACAAAGAAATAAACCGGCATGCATCCATATTTCTACAGGCGACCTGAAGAAGAGAAACGACAAAACAGAGACTAATATAGAGTTGGAACTTATCGAAACATAACAAAATATTGAGAATGGTGGAAAGAAACCAAGATTACTGGAATTCTAAAAGAGTGAAATCGAAGTAATGGCGTGGAAAAGGAAATAACTAAAAATCCATAAGCGAAATGGATTTTTAAAAAAAGAAAATACTTTTTTTTTTCTAGGGCAATCAAAGTTTAAAACTCAGGACGAAATATGAAATATGAAACACCAAGTATTTGAAATAAACTAATTATACTATTTGTAATTCTTCATCAAAATCTATAATAAGCGAATGATAACCACCACAAAAGAAAAAATTAAAATCACAGAAAATGACGAAACAACGAATAACAAATTGGCATATAGCGCTACAAACCGAAAAGGAAGAAGATACAGGTAATGGTTCCGAAATTTTCAAGATCTGAGATCATGTTTGCGGTGATTGCTGTTGCTGCTGTTGTAGACCGAGTGCATTGAATAAACGTGACTTTAAGCCAGATGAGGATTGTGATTGGGTCATACCACGTTGCGTTTGTGAAGCAGCGGCAGAAGACATTAGCGAATCATCTGCATATGCACTAGTAGCTGTTAACACTGACTGATGACCAGACACAGGCGGTTCATGCTGCAAATAATCAAAAACTATATACTACATTCATTTGAGCAGACAAACATCAGCTTTTTTTTTTGAGAAGGGAGGGAGCACGAAGAAAAAAGAAATTGAAGCAAAACAAAACTGCATGAAGAGAGCATCCACAACACAACATCAATAAAAACAAGAAATATTGAGATTTTAATTGAATATAGGAATGTTTGGAAACTATTTGCTTTCCTTTTATCAATACTCTTCAAAAAATAACGGGTACATTAAGTAATGAAGAACAGTGATAGAAAAGAACAGGATTTGATAATTTTCCAAATATACCACAATGCAAAAGTATTGTCGACTAATACAACACCACAAACCAAAATTTAAGCATGCAAGAAATGAGAAAATTGAAAAGAAATTTATTTCGATTTGGAATTCTGCAAACTTACAAAATTTTGAAGTTTTTTACAGACCAAGGAAAAAGTAGTATA